GTTTATTCAATGTTTTTAGAGTTTTTTTCTTAATACTAAGCCTAAAAACCAAACTATATAATTTGTTCAAAAATTAAAAGTAAGCCCAAGACTATATTCCATAAATAACACTGGTTTAATTTAAGTAGAATTAGTAGATTTTCATATTCTATATTTTGATGATATATATTCTTTTAGAATATTCCATATTTGTAAGAGAAAATATGTGTTTTTGGTATACACATAGATACTTGCCATATTTTGAAGGTAGTTTACATTAATGTCGTCTCTTTACATTATTTGTGTTGGTTTAATTTAAGTAATACGGTTCAATCAATTATATGACTTATATTATTTGTAACATTCTAGAATGAGTCCAAATTTAAATGACAACTTATATCAGTAGATAAAAAGAATGACTCTATTATTTTTATCTACTGATACAAGTTGTCATTTAAATTTGGACCCTTTCTAGAGTGTTACAAATAATACAAGTTATATAATTGATTGAACCGCATTACTTAAATTAAACCGACGGTTATTTATGGAATAGAGTTTTGGGCTTACTTTTGTTTTATGACATTTAATTGTTTAGTTTTTGGGCTTAGTATTAAAGAAAAACTCCAAAAAAACATTAAATAAACTTTCCACCTTAATGGATCAAAAATCAATATTTATTTTTAGGCCCAAAAATATTTAATATTTTCAACAAAACAAAATTATCTATTATTAATCACTTATTTAAATCATGTACTTTAAAACATGTTAATATTTTTAGCCCAAAAATATTTAATATTTTCAACAAAACAAAATTATATACTATTAATCACTTATTTAGATCATGTACTTTAAAACATTTAAATATTTTTTATTTTAAATAACAATCACTCTATCTTGATAAATTTTAATGGTAACTTTTAAAAAATTTATTGTTTTATTTTTCTTAAATAATTTACAGATTTAAAAAAATGTAAAGCAAAACCAAAAACCAAATCTAAAAACTAAAATATAAAACCAAAAGCTGAAAACGCAGGTTATATTTTTTGCTTTTTTTTATTACAAAATAAACTATTTCAAAATTTTTAGAAAATTATTTTGTCATCTTTTCAGTTTTAAATTACATGTTCGATTAATTGAGATTTTTTTGTTGGTAATATCAGTGTAAACTAACTTAGCAGGTCTAAAAATTAAAAACCCAAACCAAAAGCTGAAAATCAAAAATAGAAATTTAAAAACTAAAAACCAAAATTTAAAACAAAATCTAAAAATAAAAACTGAAACTAAAAATTAATGAAAAACAACTATCACCACAAATTTTGGTGAACTGATTTTATCCCAGAACATTCTTTAAATTATGATAAAACCCAATTACATAAATTTTTAATCATAAAAAATTTCTGCGCTTGAATTATATTTTTTGCTTTTTTATTACAAAATAAACTATTTCAAAATTTTTAGAAAATTATTTTTTCATCTTTTCAGTTTTAAATTAGATGTTCGATTAATTGAGATTTGTTTGTTGGTAATATCAGTTCAAACTAACTCAGTGGATCTAAAAATTAAAAACTCAAACCGGAAGCTAAAATCAAAAATAGAAACTTAAAAATTAAAACCCAAAAAATCAAAATCTAAAACAAAATCTAAAAATACAAATGGAAACTAAAAACTAATGAAAAAAATCATCACCACAAATTTTGGTGAACTGATTTTATACCAAAACATTCTTTAAATTAAGACAAAACCCCAATTATCTAAATTTTTAATCATAAATAATTTCCGCGCTTTTAAGCGCGGGTCAAAATCTAGAGTAGATGGGGAAGATGAGGACACCGACGGAGACACAGATTTGGGAGAGAAGAAAACACAGTTGCTCTGATTTTGGGGGAGAAGAAAACGAAAGCTTTCTAGAGATGAAGAGGTCGGGTTGTCGATGTCGGAGACGGTTCGTTTGCAGAGAAGGAAGTGGAATCTTGAAACAATTGGTGGAGAGGATTAATACACGATTTAGGGGGTGTAATCAATTAAATAATTTAAGAAATTTTTTTTTAACAATTCGAGCCGGTGAAAACGATTGTTTTGGGGGAGAATATTGTAATAATATAGAAAAGTAACGGGGTGAACCTTTTCTTTAGGGTTTTTTTCTACTGGCCCAATTAACTTTTTTTCTATGGCTAAAGAGCCCAATTTCCCTATTCAAAATATCTATTTCTGTAAAGTTATAGTCTACAAGTACGTCTAATCACTTAGGGTCCGACTGGTTTCCCCGCTACCACCCGCAAACGCAGCTTTTGCGGTTGATGGCGGTTGGTAGCGTTTTGCAACAATCACAAAAACCGCTACAAATCGCTTCAAACCGCTCCCAACCTCTTAAAATCAAAAGCTTGTTTCAGCTAGCGTTTGCGTTTGCGGGCGATTGCGGGTGGGTTAAAAAACTATTTTTCTTTTAAATTTAAATTTAAATTTAAATATAAAAATAAAAATAATATAACTAAAACTATATCTAGCTTTTATTTTTTAATTTAAATTCACTAAAAATATCATAATCTATTATAAAAAATTAAATTAAGACTTTTCACTATATTTTTCAATATTAAATATATAAATATATAAATATATAAATATAGTGAAAATTATATTAGAATATTTTATTAATTATAGAAATTATATTTTCATCTAAATAAAAAATAAAAAAAATAATATGTTATTACTTATAATATATTAATAGTTATTATTTTTTATCATAACAGTATGTTTTGATATTTTTATAATGTTATAATATGTTAATATTGGAAATTTATTATTGAACCGCTGTAGTATCTCATAATCAACCAGTCATAAATGTCCCGCAAACGCACCAGTTTTTAATTGCTATACCAGTCGTACAAATCGCCTAATAACGCTAGAAACCGCAACCACCCACATCCGCAAACTCTCGTAACCGCAATCGCAACCGCCGCGTTTTAACCAGTCAGACCCTTAATCTCAGTTAATTTTGTTCGGCCTAGAGCATGTTTTAGGCTCTCGATTGCATATTGATTTAATTAAAAACATTAACCGTTAGATATTTAAAAAAAGATATATTTCAATACACCAGTTACCACCAACATTAGTTATGCTTTTTACCAAAAAAAGAAAAAAACATTAGTTACGGTTGATTGTCTTTACTTCCATTTTAACTTTTTCTGATATGTAATAAGTACTAGATTTTGACCCGCGCTTAAAAGCGCGGAAATTTTTTATAATTAAAAATTTATATAATTGAGTTTTGTCTTAGTTTAAAGAATATTTTGATATAAAACCAGTTCACCAAAATTTGTGATGATGATTATTTTTCATTAGTTTTTAGTTTCAGTTTTTATTTTTAAATTTTGGTTTTTGATTTTTAGTTTTTAAGTTTCTACTATTCATTTTCAGTTTTTAGTTTGGGTTTTTAATTTTTAAACCCGCTAAGTTAGTTTGAACTAATATTACCAACAAACAAATCTCAAATAATCGAACATCTAATTCAAAACTGAAAAGATGACAACAAATTAAAAAAAAATTGAAATAGTTTATTTTATAAATAAACAAAGCAAAAAAATATAATATGTGTTTTCAGCTTTTGGTTTTAGATTTTAGTTTTTAGATTTGGTTTTTGGTTTTGCTTTACATTTTTTTAATCTGTAAATTATTTAAGAAAAACAAAATAATAAATTATTTAAAAGTTACCATTGAAATTTATCAAAACAAAGTGATTTTTATTTAGAATAAAAAAATAGATTAACATGTTTTAAAGTACATGATTTAAATAAATGATTAATAATAGATAATTTTGTTTTGTTAAAAATATTAAATACCTTTTGGGTCTGAAAATAATAATTGAGTTTTTGATCTTTTAAGGTGAAAAGTTTATTCAATGTTTTTAGAGTTTTTTTCTTAATACTAAGCCCAAAAACCAAACAATATAATTTGTTCAAAAAATAAAAGTAAGCCCAAGACTATATTTCATAAATAACCACTGGTTTAATTTAAATATAATTAGTAGATTTTCATATTCCATATTTTGATGATATATATTCTTCTAGAACATTCCATATTTGTAAGAGAAAATATGTGTTTTCGGTATACACATAGATACCTATTATATTTTGAAGGTAGTTTACATTAAGGTCGTCTCTTTACATTAATTGTGTTGGTTTAATTTAAGTAATACGGTTCAATCAATTATATGACTTATATTATTTGTAACATTCTAGAATGAGTCCAAATTTAAATGACAACTTATATGAGTAGATAAAAAGAATGACTCTATTTTAATAGAGTAGATATAGATTTTCATGCGCGATAAAAATGGTATTGGGTTGTCCATTATGAGCACTAATTATTATTTATATAAACAAAGATAGGAGACACAGAATATTATTGGGCTGTGACTCGAAATTAAGTTCACTGTTCAAGTAAAACTAGAACTCGTTTTATATGATGAAAGAGCCCAGCCCAAACGAGTGTATGCCAACTTTTAATGACGTAAGTAGGTACCTAAGCATTCAATGATATATTGACAATCTACACACTCACCGAAACATCTCGAACCAAATAACTCAGTCAACGTACGTTACTATCCTACCTTCTGGATATTTTAACCTCATTTTCTTATTTCTAAATTCATATACTGCTATTTATTTAGTACTATATTCAACTGATCTAGAAGATAATTACATTTTTGTTGAAAGAAAAATTTATTTTAATAAATTCCCAAACAAATAATTACTAAGTAAATTTTTTTGTCAAATTATTACTAAGTAATTAATCCATTAGATTAGTTGGTTTACATACTAAAAAAAATCACTCGTATTTTGTTCATTGCAAAAAAAAAAAAAAAAAAGTATTTTGTTCATTGCCGTAAGAATATGTGACCGACAAAAAGAAAAGAAGTTTTGTCCACAAGCTTCTAAAAGATTATTGTAACGTAAAAGAATATTGGAATGCAAAATCCTTTTTTGGCACTCTTTATCCGTTTGTCTTTATAAACAACTTCACCCTCACAGTCTAATCTACAACACAGTAAAACAAATCTCTCTATCTCTTTTGTGAAGCTTTCAGTGATCGCAGAGAAAACAATGGCGAACGAAGTGATCCTTCTTGATTTCTGGCCTAGCATGTTCGGCATGAGGACAAGAATCGCGTTGAGAGAGAAAGGTGTAGACTTTGAGTACAGGGAAGAGAATCTGAGAGACAAGAGCCCTCTGCTTCTCCAGATGAACCCGGTTCACAAGAAGATTCCGGTTCTGATCCACAACGGTAAACCGGTCTGTGAATCTTCCATCCAGGTTCAGTACATCGACGAGTCTTGGTCTCACAAGAACCCTATCCTCCCTTCTGATCCTTACCAGAGGGCTCAGGCTAGGTTCTGGGTTGATTTCATCGACAAGAAGGTAAATCAAGATCCTCTGTTTTTTCTTTTTTGCTAAATTAAGATCAAAGTTTTAGTCTTTAGATGGGTTTGTTGTTTATGTTTGGATCTTTAATGGGTTTGTTGTTAAAGTTTGGATCTTTAGATGAGTTGTTAGTAAAGTTTTGATCTTTGAATCTTTGAGAGGCTTCATGAGCTTCATGCTACTCAAGAAGGTTATCAAGATCCTCTGTTTTTTTGTTAGATTAAGATCAAAGTTTTGATTTTTAGATGGGTTTGTTGTTAACGTATTGATCTTTAGATGGGTTAGTTAGTGAAGTTTTGATCTTTGACTATGCTTAGCTTCATGCGACGCAAGAAGGTTATCAAGGTCCTCTGTTTTTTTGTTAGATGAAGATCAAAGTTTTGATTTTTAGAATGGGTTTGTTGTTAAAGTATTGATCTTTAGATGGGTTTGTTAGTAAAGTTTTGATCTTTGACTTTGATGCTTAGCTTCATGCTACTCAAGAAGGTTATCAAGATCCTCTGTTTTCTTGTTAGATTAAGATCAAAGTTTAGATATTTAGATGGGTTTGTTGTTAAAGTTTTGATCTTTGGGCTCTGTGTGGGTGATCAGATGTACGAGGCTCAGAGGAAGGTGTGGGCGAGCAAGGGTGAGGAGCAAGAGACAGGGAAGAAGGAGTTCATTGAGCTACTCAAGATTCTGGAATCTGAGCTTGGAGACAAGCCTTACTTTGGTGGGGATGACTTTGGGTATGTAGACATTGGATTGATTGGATTCTACACTTGGTTCCCTGGGTATGAGAAGTATGGTAACTTCAGCATCGAAGCAGAGTGTCCTAAGCTGATTGCTTGGGCTAAGAGGTGTATGCAGAGGGAGAGCGTGGCCAAGTCCTTGCCCGATTCTGAGAAGGTTACTCAGTTCATCGCTGATCTTAGGAAGGCATTTGGGGTTGAGTAGATCCGTTTGTTTGTCGTTTGGTTGCTATCTATGCTCAGTTCTGGTCTGTTTTTTTTTTGGCTAAGTAAGTTGTGTTCTGTTTTACTTTCGTTTGATGATCATTTCTTCTTGAATAATGCTTGAGTATCTGTGGACTATGGAGTGGATGTGGAGAGATTTGTATGTCTTGTTTATATGCATCTTAAGCGTGGAATAAATGATATTTATATTTCCGTAACTTGAAATCTAATCAATTAATTTAGGACTAGGATAAGATCTGCGCCCTGCGCAAGGTGAATATACGTAATTAAAATATAAAATTTTAGTATAGATAAATTTAAAATTTACATATAACTGTTTTTATATGTATTTAAAATTTTAGAATTTTGTAATTTTTAAATAATTATCTATACGTAGGATCAGAAACAATTGTAATTAGAACCGAAGATCAAATCTTAGAATTTAATGGATCCAATTTTATATATCTTTTCACTTTTTAGTGTTTGAGTGATAGAAAATGAACAGAGTGTCATTGGGTTTGACTGGTAGAGTATTAGCAAATTTTCTAATGTTTTTCTAAAAAGCAATTGGTAAAATAATTGCATTTAAAATATATAAAGTTTCAAAACTAATTTAATATAATTTATTTATTTGTATAATAATATTAGAAAACTATATTTTTTACAAATTATTATTTTTTAAATAATTTTATAAAAAATTAAGTTAAATTTTAAATTATTTTTAAAAACAATATTTTAAGTTTGTCAAATACAAATAAAAAATTAAAAATTAATTATGGGCATGATTTAAAAAAAAAAAATTAACAAATTATAAATTAACTCAGTTTTATATCATGATTTAACAATTTAAAAATTAATTCTGGTTATGAGAAGTTTACGTTCACGTGTTAATCCTATTTATCTGCAATTTTTTCTTTTGTTGTGTTTTTTTATATTTTGGTTATTACTCGATATAAATATTGATTTTGAAGTTTATTCTCATTTCGTTTATTTGTTTTGACCTGGGATTTAGAAACTACTTAAGATTTAAAATAATTAAAAAGATACATACTTAGGTTAAGATCTGCACTTTATGCACAATAAGTATTTTATATTTATAATTTATTTTATAATTTTCTGCATATCATAAAATAATAAAATAATAAATATATATATTACATAACTAAAAAATCAGTCACTATTGTGTAATAAATTGACGTATGCATATAAATTTAACTACCACTCTTGTTTATTTGTAATTAGCGTAAATAAATCAAAATAATCAATCTTATATTTTGTATATGATATATAATTAAATTTAAATAATATAAACATAGTAATATGGCACACTTTTAATATTGATATTTATTAAATGAGGTTTCTACTCATATGATTTTATGATTATTTTCATATTTATGTAACAAAACTTTACACCAACGATTTTTTTTTAATGTGAGATGTTTAGTAGTTTCAATAATTTATAATCATTTTTAAGAAAATGACATATTTCAAAATTAAAATATTAACTTTTCAATATATGTTGAAGACAATCATAATATAATTATATATTTTCATACGATTTATAGTTTAATTAAAACGATATGAAATATATATATAAACTAAAATTATTTCTTCATATGGTCTTATAATCATTATATTTTAATATAGAAAACAAATTAAAACCTTAATCCTAAAATTTTATGTGAGACTTTTAACAATTTTAGTAATTTATACTCATTTTGAAAAATTCAAAATACAACATACACACAAAAAAATCTAGATTTTTATTATATGATTAATGTAATTGTGTAATTTATTTTAATAATAAATAAATAAACAAAATGAGAAAAAGTATACAGATTGTTATCAAATCTTTATTGTTTAAAATCATTAATTGTCATATATAATTTAATCACATTAGGTAATTCTGTATATTTTATTTAAGGAAAGCATGCGAAACAATAAATATTTGATATATGCGACCAAATATAGTTTACGAAATATTATATTGCTAGAGAAAATAATTTTTAGACTATACATTATATCACATGCTCTATAATCCTTGGGATTTGAAATAGAAGCCAAATAGCTATGCCACATAGGATTGGGTTATTTTTAATTCTTACAAACTTAAGGTTACAACTTTTTAAATGATTCTCAAATAATATATAGGGGATTCTATTTGAATTTTACCGTGACATGTTTTAGTTTGGACCTATTAAATATGTTATTTTTAATTTGGATCTATTAAATATGTTGTGACTAAGTATAAATGATTATATATATATATATATTTTTTTTTTTTTTTTGAGAACCCCACGATGAAATATCACCATATTGGAAATATTCTTCTGTTTGGACTACAAGGACATCATTTCTTTTATTAAGAGCGACATAATTTTACTAATTACTAGATATAGGAGCGACATAATTTTACTAATTACTAGATATAGATCCGTACATTAACATTCAACCATTCATATTTATCAAATTATTGTTCTATATTACCGTTAAGAAAAATATGAAATCATTCTAAGGTGAAAATTTTTGGCTAAATGGTATGACATTGCCAACACCTATACAAAAAATTATTTTATATTTGCTAAATCTAATATTTTCTCATGAAAAAATGTATCACATTATTAAATGTCAGTATAATGGTAACATTTCAAATTCTAACAAGCACAAAACATAATAATAATAGTACTCTAAATTTTTTAAGAAGTTTTATTACAAAAAAAAGATAGTTTTACATCATTTGTTTTCAATATTTGCATTGTTTATAAATGATGTAAGAGAACTTTACATCACTTAAAAAAAGTAATTATGAAAGTGATGATGCAAATAATTTAAATCAATTCATTCAATAATTGATGTAAAAATATGAATTATTTTCATCATTTACATAAAGGATGTTAATGTGTCATTTATAATAAATGATGTCAGTTTTTGCATCAATAATGTTAAATGATGTAAGTATTTATATCAATCAAAATAATTGATTTTAACAATTACGCCAACTGAAAAAAATCTTTTATTAATATCAAATTTATTTTAAGAAATAATTACTGTAATTATTATTTTATTAATTAGTTTTATATTACATAAAATATATTTTCCAAAATCAATTAAGATTGCAATACCAGAACTGTAATTTTTTTTAAAAAAAATCTTTATATTTTTCCATTATACATCACGATTATAAAAATGATTTACAAAAAAAAAAGAGAAATTGCCAGAAATAACACTTTCAAGATACCACTTTTCAACTTTACACTAACCAACTTTACCATTAAAATTTTAACAGTCAAAATACTATTAGAATTTAGGGTTTAGGGTTTTGGGTTTAGGATTGATAGTTTAAGGTTTAGGGTTGATTTTCTGGGGTTTAGGGTTTACTTTTTAGGGTTTAGAATTTAGGGTTTAAGGTTTACAATTGATATTTTAGGGTTTATGGTTGATTTTTAGGGTTGAGGGTTTACTTTTTAGGGTTTAGAATTTAGAATTGATGTTTTAAGATTTATGGTTAATATTTTATTTAATATTTATTTTAAATATATATATAACGAGGATATAAGAGTCTTTTATCCTTTAATAAAATGTGTATTTTTGAAAATATTCCTTTATTGATGGTAACATGAAAAGTGGTACCACCAAAGTGGTATAATTGAAATTCTCTCAAAAAAAAAAACACAAATCAAACACAACGATATAGATTTCAGCCATCATTCTTGCTTTTGTTTCAAATTTCTTCATTCCATCTTAAAAACTCCAGTCTTCTTTGTATGCTCTTTTTTCTTCTCCTTGAAGAATAAGGATTGCAAATTGACCAAGGATGGAGATGGATCTTGATACTTGAGCATATCCTACAAAACATAAAAGAATATGTATAATTAATTTAGTTCAAACTCTTGATAATTTCCTAGAGTAAAGATAATCGTTTGTAAGTATCATTAGCATAACAGTTTAAAACATCTTACTTTTCTGTTAAAACTATCAGAGGAAACACACACTTATAATGATTAGTTACATACCTCCATTGATCTTGAAGTTCACCATGTTTCCATTTTTTTTTACTATCAATGATTATTATACAAAAATTATGTCAAATAACAAAGAAAAGAATAAACATATGGGACAATCGAAAACTTAACATGCAGAAGATTAAAGAAAAAAAGGATACAAGATGATCAAGAGTCAAGAGTTAAATGCTTTTTAAAAACTGTGTTGAAAGAGATTAACAGAATTGTAAGTGTAGAAGTAGAAGAAGATTCTGGGCGTTCTCAAAGATATGGGTTTGTGGGTGAGATAAAATAGGAGATAAATTAGGAGTATTTAATGGCATAAAATATTTTTACAAAACAAAACTAAAGCAATAAATTTGAAATTAAAACTAACATTTATTTGCGGCGAGAATTTGGAATAGTTATTGTAATTTTTTTATATTTTAATTGATAAGATATTTCTAATGGGTGTGCATATATTTAAAATGAGCTTTTCAGTTTCATTATTAAATCAATACTTATTGTCAGTTATAATTTTAGTGACGAAAATGGAAATTTAACAAAATTACAAGAAAACTATACATTAGATATAGTAAATATAAAAATATATTAAAACTCATATGAGTCAATTATGAAAGTAATACAGTTTTAAAGATAGTAAGTAAATACACCTACTTTTTATTATAGAAATTATATTGAGTATTTTAAATTTTGGAAACTATAAATTTAGCGTCATAAAAATATTTCAGCGAAAGAAAAATGAACTACATATATTGATAAATTAGTTAAAACTATTATAGTATCATTTTATTAGTGATTCCAAAATTTACATCTTTTATTGAAATGATACTACTTTTGCATCATTTTATAACTAATGCTAGTACAATTTAGTAAGTGTGTCAATTATTTAACTGATGTAAATTTGTATTTTGTATCACTTTTTTGAAATGATTTAATTATTATAGTTTTGAGTCAATTTCATTGAAACGATGTTAAAATAAATCATTTATTTTTCTGATGTTAGAAAAATGTCACTGCGTTTATAAATGTACTTAATCATCAAATTAGATGCTGAATGAAAAATTATAATAATAATATTAATAATAATAAATAAGTAGACTAGGACATGCAGTCATGATTGATTGTAGTAATGTCTTAATTTTGTAATAATCATTGAATCACATATTTATGTTTCATATTTATATGCAACTAGATCATGATCCGCGCGGATGCACAAATTTTATTTTTCGGATGTAATCTATATAATTTAGTATTATATAATTTTGAATTTGTCTAATTCGATTTTATGTTTAAAGAACACTATCAAAACGGTCTTTTGTAATAGCGCCAAGCAATGTATTATGTAGATTTAATCGTGCAGTGAAAATACTAATTTAGTATGTTTGTTCGAAGCGCAAAATCATTCAAAATTAACTATTTGCTTTAAAAAAAAAATTGAGAAAATACTGTACAAATTTCTAGAATTTCAGGCATTAACTTTTATTTTTTAGGTTATGTCAAATTCAAAGTTAACTTTGGTCTTAACTTTTCAAGAACGTATATTTTACGATGAAAAAATCATAAATAACTTAACAAATATTTTGGTAATTTGAAAGAATTTATGTATTTAAAATATGTTTTTCATTTAAATCCGTATATTTGAATTCAACCTAGACCGTGGTTAAACCGGTGATGCGATAATTCAATTTTGATTTTTATAAATATCCATATTTAAAAAATCACCAAAACCGGATACTAACCGATTAACTGATATTTAATATTTAAACCTGTAAAAATAAGTTTATTCGCATTTTTTTATATATTATTTGATTTTTTAATTTATTTAAATAATTTGAAAGAAAATTGTGAAAATATTAAAAAGGGTGAGATCTAATGTTTTGTATTGTTTGGACATAATATTAATGATAGTGTTGTTTGGAAACATGGATAGTAGTATAATAAATAAGTATATTGTTTGGAAACTAGTAGAATAAAGAAATAAATATATTATTTGGAAACATAGATAGTAGTATTTTTTGTTTTTTCTTACAACGAAAGACTGATCTATTACTCAAGCTTGAGGTGGTCTTGGAAGTCAGACCGGAATAAAACAACCAACGTACAATAATTCTCGATAAAAGGAGCGTGCAGTTTTAGCTAGAGAGTCTAACACACTATTATGCGTCCTAGGATAATGGATAGTAATATAAAGAAATAAATATTAGTGATTTTAATGTATGTTTAACTAAAAAGTAGAAAGATATATTTAAATTAAAAACTTACAAAATTAATATTAGGTCTAACCTAATGTTTCTGTTTTAATAAAATTGATATTAATTTGAATTTCAGATAGGGGTTTCTGGATTTTTTTTTTGAATTTTTTGTTTGTACTCGGTTAATAATTTTTCGGATTCGGATATATTTTATAATCCCCTACAAAATTTATTCAGATGTTTTACATTCTGGATCGGATAAATATTTGATTTTCGGATCTTGTATTCTATTTTATGCCTGGATTTTATGTCTTGGCCTCAGAGCAATATGTTATTATGAATTGTTTAAATTCGTATTGACGAATATCCAAACTCGTTCTACGTGTCTTCCCTAGCACAGTTTACGCTAGGTTCGATTAATCTATAAACATGTCGGCCAAGTTGTAATTGCATTCATAACAAGTCAACGACAAGGAAAAGTCTCGTGCCGACGGGTGTTTACGTCGTCACTCACGGTTACAGATCCAGTAAACAGAATTTCGCAAAAATAACCTTATTCCATTGATACTTAATACTTTTTTTTTTTTTTTTTTTGTAACATTGATACTTAATACTTTCATATAAAAAACACAAGTTTTACTAACAAGTGCATAATCCTTCCATACAAAAAGGCCCTGGTAATCCACCCCCGCAAATAACAATCTTCGTACAATCTTCTTGTAAGTGACAAGTCCAAGTGATACATTTTCCTTGACCTGGTCTTCTTTCATCTTTACACCATATGCCTCCGCATCCTTCTTTATTTCCGCAGACCGGCAAGTGGCTACCACCCTCTGCTTTTGGTACATTGATTACAAGCAACATAAACACACCTACGTACATGTTAATCACCATAAAATAACGATTTAATCACCATATTATGAGTTATGACATGTTTTGGAGTCCGTTAAAATGGAGATATAGAAACAAGAACTCACAAGATATCATACAGAAGAGGAGGAGAATGGATGTTGATCTCGAGGGCCATGTTTATACAGATTAACTAGACGGAGAAAATGATTTAACAAAATTTTAATGTTTTTTCTTTGAGAAAGAATTTTAATTTTTTTTTTTTTAGTTTTCTTTCGTAGCTTTATAGGCGTTTGATTGTACAAATATCTATTGGGGTCTTTGAAATGTCTCCATTTTCTTTCATTGCTGTATATATACAGTAAAACCTCTATAAATTAATAAAGTTGAAAATCTAAAAATCTATTATTTTATAGAGATATTAATTGACAAAAAAAAAATTTATTTAGATTTTTTATTTTAAGATGTATATATTCTAAGATAAGAAAAATATTTGATTTTTAGTGTATAGATATTAATTATTATTTTTGAAATTTGACACTTATATTAATTTTATTATATTATTGGTGTATATATATACATATATATTGCATAATACTAAACCTCATCAAAATTATAGTAAGTGTTAAGAAAATATAAAGATAATTTCATTATGAATATAACAACAATATCATGTAAGTTTTTACCTATATAAAATATGTATACATATATATATATATTATTAATTTATAATTTTGATGGGACCATATATTACATAGAAATTTCTATAAAAATATTATCTTATTATTTTATTGATTTGTGTCAAATTTTAAACCGGTCCAAGTTGAGACCGATGATATTTATTAATTTATAGAGATTAATTTATCAAGTATTAATTTATATATGTTCTACAGTAGTAGATATGAGCCGTGCATTGCACGATTTTATTTGATATTTTAATATTTATAAAATATAAAAATAATAATTCATTGTATAGTTTTATGATTTTTGCATATGTTGTGTGAGATTTATTTTAGAAATTAAGAATTCATTTTTTCCATAAAAGTTCCGATTAGTATTTATATTTAAATAAGCACGGATTTTATTTGAAGTTTTAATTTTACAAAGGACATAAAATAATAAATTATATTATATTTTAAGGATTATTTTTGTATATGTTGTGTGAGATCTATTTCAAAATTTAGAATTTTTTTTACCGACATAAATATTGGTAAATATTTATATTTTAATAATCATGGCACATAGGTGAATTGTTTTTAACTTTGTACCTAAGGCCAGAGAAAATACTTACACCTAAAAATTTAAACAAAATCCAGTTCAAATTAATAATTAGAGTGAAATAAAAAACTGAAAGTTAAATAAGGTCAATCAAGTCAATGACAATATCATACAGTTGTCACTTCTTAATTTGTGATAATAAATCTTAAAATAAATAAATAAATAATATTATTATATATTGTAATAAAGTTGAAGAAGAAGATCTTAGAGGTAATATTAACAATTCTTCTAATTTCATTTTAAGGATATGATATTTAATATCATTTATATCATTTAGAATTTTTATATAATTTTATAAACTTAGTTTCATCCCTTAAATATTAAATTCTACACACTAAATCCTAAATTTAGATGTTATGGAGTTAGTATTAAAAATGGTATTCAAGTTATAGTATTTCAAACAATTTCTTTAGTTTTTACCAGTTTTTGAATTTGTAATTTTTCCTATGTGTATTTAATTTATAATTATTTTCAAATTACTTGTTTCTCATTTTCTACTAACAATTAGACCATTTTATTAAATTTGTCTGTTATTAAATAATTTTCTAAATTGATTTTAATGATATATGTTCATAACAACATTTTAATAAAATAGATTAGAAATACTATGTACTAAAACACATATGTAATAAGAAGACGATGAAACATAATTTCTTTTTTACTAAACACATAAAAATCATTTATGTTGATAATAATAAAAATCTATTTTTTATGACCAAACACAAAAAATACCAAACATGTTTTTTTTTGTATGACCAAAAACGTAAAAATACCAATATAAAGACGAATCACGGCAAAATCCTCTTTTTGATTTTTTTAGTTATTTAAACTGTTTTCGTATCATGTTTAATATTTTTTTTTAAAAATAATTCTTATGATTTTGAAAAAGAAAACATTATGTTATATAAACTCTTTTATTTATAACTAAAAAAATAAAATTACAATCAAATACTATTTTACATTTTTGTTTAAAATTTTAGAAAATAAAGATTACTACCATACAATTATTTACAATTATCTTCTATTTTGAATTGTCGAAAATTAGATTGCTATCAAATAATTATTTCAATACTATTAAATATTTTATTAATTACTATTTTACAATTCATGTCACTACTATTTTTACTTCTACACAATATTTAAAATTAATATTTAAAATTTATTTTTTATTATTTTAAATATTTTGTTTAGGATTCGAGAAAATTAAAATTACAATTAAACACATTTAACTTCTTCTTTCTGACAAGATTGAGAAGATTATGAGAGCATGTATCATACTCCATAATATGATAGTAGAAGACGAACAAGATGGATACACTCAATTTGATGTTTCAGAGTTCCAAAACAGAGAAGACATCGGAAGTTCATATGTGGATCTCACGTATTCTACAGATATCCCTTCAAATATTGCTAATATGATGGGTGTTCGAACTAGAATTCGTGATAGACAGATGCATCAACAACTGAAAGATGATTTGGTTGAACACATATGGCTTAAATTTGGACGTGATAAAGACAACAACTGAACTTTGATGCTTCTTTCAAATTATTATCGTTTATTTTACTAAGCTTTGTTTTTTGTTTTTTTTTTAAAAAAAAATCTTATGTTTAAAATGCTATCTTTTAGTATGTTTTATTTAATCAATAATTTTAAGTTTATTAAAAAAATGTTTATTTTTTTAAAGAATCCTAAAATAAGAGTATTGCATTGGACCTATTAAATATATGGATTACTTATTTTGTCTCTTAAATCACCTTTTCTATTAAAATAGCATTAAAAATAAATAAGCACTCCTAATAAGAGCTTTTGCATTAAAGGTGCTCTTAATCGTTATTGATGTTCTTACCTTTTTTTTTTTTTTTTGTCACAAAATGATGTTCTTACCTTATAAACTCTTTTTCACATATATTCTATTTTATTAGGAATTTTAAAATAAAAATTGAACCAATGGGACAAACATGTGACATAAAGTGAAAGTTGTTTATAATAAGAGCTTTTGCATTAAAGGTGCTCTTAATCGTTAATGATGTTCTTACCTTATAAACTTTTTTTCACATATATTCTATTTTATTAGGAATTTTAAAATAAAAATTGAACCAATGGGACAAACATGTGACATAAAGTGAAAGTTTTTTATTTTTTAACTTTTAAAGTGAAAGGAGCTGACTTTAAATTAAAGTTAGATGGATAAGTTATTAACCCATTTTGCTCATCTAGTTTTAAATATACAAACTACTAGAAGATAACAATAGAATAACCAACCTAAATGTAATAATTAAGGGTGGATACAATTACTTGCAACTCAGCTTGTACTTGCTATTTGATTCTTATTTGGTTCTTAAAGGTGAGTACTCATTTTGTTTAAGTGAAGTATCAAGTCGTTGATTTTAATTACTTGCAAGTACAAGACAAATACCAAGTACTAAAAAGAAAACAACTACTTGACGTTGTTGACTTGTTACTCGTAATTTATTATTTGACTTATTATCCGTTTTTACTTTTGAACAAAAACTCTAAATTATAATCAAATTACTTGTTTATACAATAAATGCATTAAAATTAATATCTTATAGAAATATTTTAGAGTTTTCTTTTAATTTTCTATTTATTATATATCGAGTTAAAATCTTTAGTAAAAATTGTTTAGATTAGAATTATAACTAACTAATTTTTACTTAAATTCATATACAAGGTTCAAGTAACTAAAACTAATAAACTATTAGTAAATAATTTATAAATAATTATATAATAGTTTATAAATTAATTTAGAAGTAACAAGTAGTAAACAAGTAACTGTAAGTATATCATTTTTAGCAAATACTTAAAAGTGAAAGTATTCTTTTTTAATAAATTAAATATGAGTCTAAAATTTCATTACTTAAACAAACCATATCAAATATCAAATAAATAAAAATGGCTGCCAAATATCACATAAATAAAAAATGGCAAGTACTTGACTTGTGCCATTGCTAATAATAATGTTTGGTGAGCAATGACTCGCTCCAAGATCCAAAATATACAACCCACTGACTAGGTGGTATGATATGCACGTTTATCAAAAACACGTGTTACAAGATAAGACACTTCTTGCTATTAGGATAGTTTTTCCACTGTACAAAACCTGTTAATCCCATTTTACCCTCAGGTTAATTAAATAACAAATAGATTTTTTTTTTGCGTTTCTTTGCTTGACGATCAAACCAAAAGTAGTAACAGAAATAGTTTTGACCGCCGCCGAGGTTCTTCGTATATCGCTGTTAATATCTAAGCATAATTTCAGCAAGGCCTCTCAATCCGACTCATACTTATGTTTAAGCTCCATTAATTTTTCTCGATCTGATTCATACCTACGTTTTTAATCTCCATTAATTTTTCAGATCTTTTCCTTAAACTCTACTCATATCGGATTGGGGTCGTTTATGTGAGTTTGCGTTGAAACTGAATGAATCTTACAACTCGTGAGAGTCGGAGAAGACGAAGAAGGTTAGGTCCCCATTTTCTTATAAAATAAAGCAATCTCTTTGGAAGCATTTTTCTGAAGAATCTTTCTTGTCTGGTTTAGATTCTAACATTGTATTTTAAGAAGTGAAGCAATTATAGCTTTCCTCGAGGAGTGTAAGGAAGGGGAAGAGAAGAGGAAACGGGAGAGATTAAAAAAAAATGTTTATGAAAAAACACTAAGTGAAGTGAAACAAGGTGTTAACAATGAAGGACGGTGAAGTAGATGAATAAGTAATGTGTTCATGAGCTTTTTTATGATTCTACCTTTCATCGCCAAAAACTAAGGAATATGGTTTATTGACGATTTATTATGTATTACGTGTGGTGCTTGCATTTGCATATTTCAAGAACATCTATGTCTAAGAAGCATCGACATGGACACCACCTTTTCTTATCCACATGGACATCACTTTCACTAACTATCTAAATAACCATAGTGTAAATAAGTTTTTTTTTTTTTTCTTGTCCACGGTAAGGCCAAACCGTAATTGATATGTACATATTTTCAACTCTATCAATATGTATATCGTCCCCATGGACACAAGGCACAGTATCACACATACACAGTGAATAGTGTCCACGTGTACACAAAGCATTTGTTCACATGTATCAAACTAGTTGTACATCTCAGCTATATCATTACACATTTTTTATGTTTAGCGTCAATAAGTTTATTTGTTTTCTTTTCTTGTTCACGTTAAGGCCAAACCATAATTAATATGTACACATTTGCAACTCTATCAATATGTACATTGTTCCCATGTACACAAATGCACATTATTACATGTACACATGTGTAAAGTGTCCACGAGTACACCAACCATTTATTCACATGGATCAAACTAGTTGTACATTTCCACTATATCATTACACACGTATATGTTTAGAGATTTATACACAACTCCCACTTGTCTAGTGACACTGCAGGCATTTGATTTAAACCGCCATTACAATATATAAGTAAAAGTCCATTGCTAGTATAATTTCTTGCAAACCTACAAAACATGTACAGCCATAGTTAAGCAGACCAGTTAAACACTTGTACATATGTAGACAAACACATGTACATATGGCTCTTAAACCTTTCAACTGAGCGTACATATGTACATATTCAATGCAGTGATTGCATCAATCTAGATACTAGTGTGTTAGCTTCTTCTTTTTTTTATTATGGCTATGCATATGTGTATATCTTTTAATGTCTCGCTGATTCTTTTGGTGACATTTCATCAGATTCTTGATCATACAATCCTAAAAATCAAGTCTTTGTGGGATCACTTTCATTGCTTTCTTACTGATTCATTTTTATTGATACAACCAAGAACTAGAAATATGTACACAATTACTTAATTGTACAATACAAGTTAGGTGTACACTTATACATTTTTTCAATGTACACATGGACATGCATAGATGGTGTACACATTGATATACCTAGCCGATGTACACGTATGCATAATGGTGTTAAACGAACTATGAGTCTTATAAAGATGAATGTAGGATGCTGCTTTCTAAGAGCTCAAGTGAAAAGGGAAAGTCATGGAAAGGGAGAAACTCGAACCGGACAAAGGTTCTAAGGTTATGATGGGAGTGAACATATATAGAAACAAAGAATCCTTGCGCTGCTTCAACTGGAACTCCACATTTTTCTCAGCAACTCAAGAAAAGTGGTGAAAAGAGTTTGATGAAGCTTGTGGACATAGTAGTGTTAGCATGTTTTGTGTGTTTCAATTGTATACACTAATGAAATGTACACTTGTTGATATATCCACATGTACAACGATTATAAATATCCATTAACAAATATTAACTAGTCGTTATCAATGTAAACTTAATCTAGACTCTACAAAATTTATGCAAATCATAGATTCCAAAGTGAAAAATGAAACAACAGTATTTTCATCAAACCTTATTCTCCACAAAAACCTATGCTTTTGTCCTTATCTATAACAGCCTATCTTCTTATTAAAAAACCAATAATCAAACCTCACTTTTCACAGACAAAGGGAATACTAAAAAGTTAAGGTGTACACATGAATATCGTGTAGGAGGTGTACATGTGAATTGTAAAACAGTGTACATGGGTTGCCTCTCTTGCCTCTCTTCTCTGGATTGTACAAGAACTGAATGGATGGAACCATTATTGAATCATGATAGATAATAGTTTCACAATTCTAATTGAGTAGAGACACATTTTACATATAAAGGAGACAACATGTAAAGTAATTACACAACAAGAACAAGATCACTATTTTTTTTAGCTTTTCCTTCATTCCTCCGAATCTCATCTAAATACTTCACTCCCTTACCCTTGTAGGACTTTGAAGGCCTCCACCTCATCACCGTTGCATCCAATGGCCCTATTTCGTTCGTATGTATCCACTCAGTGATACTCATGTTCTTTTTTACTTTAACCTTGAGACTCTCTGGTATCTGATCTTAACCGGGTAAGAAAACCCAGATTCATAACCAAATCTTTCCCTTCCACCGTTGCATGATAACTGACACCCACTAGTATAAGCTTTTTGTCAAATCCCTTTGATTCTTTCCCAACCATGTTAACGGGAAACGTCCTAAAATACATACACAGAGTTAGCAACAACCCCAAAAGGTTGTACACGTGAATTATATAATGATGTACATGGGTTGTAATACGGTGTACATGTGGATAATATTATTGGTGTACAGTTCGATAAAGAGGTGTATGTGTTCGTGCTGAAAGTTCTATGTTGTACATATGAACCTAATTTTAAAAGCAAGCAATATAAGTAACATAAACAAGTAAGAATGTTGTAACTGATGTATATATGTATAAGAACATCTTAGTTAGGATATAGAACCAAATCCTTAGATAACAATTTACAGAATTGACAGAATTTCTCAATACTTACAAGCCATCTCAAATCGCACATTTAAATAATTTTTCTATCTCAATACTTATAGACCATGTCATATTTGATAAAAACAAGACTTTGATGTTTCTCTCTACTCTTACGTAGTAAACAAAAGATAAGAATATGTACCTGTCTTTATTTAAAGACATGTTATCTCTAAAACCCACCTCATCAACTTTCTGTACAAGAGGTTAGAATGAGTTAGGAAGAACCATAAACATTGAAAATTGTAATACTGCTCAGAAAATAGCATAGGGAAGAGCTACTATCAACTTTATCTTCTTCATCTAGCTAGTGTCAGATTTCCTTCTCTTCAGTTTATCAACTTTATTCTCTTCATCATCACCTCCATCTCCTCCGCCTCAATTACCAATATTTCCATTTTGTCGTTTCACCCATCGATCTTCCGCCATCTACCACCACCGTTATCAAGTTCTCAAAGGTCAAATCTTTTGATTCCTTATATACCCAATTTAGCTTCGTGGTCTCTATGTCCTCACTGATTCTTTATTTCTCCGACGTCAATAGAGACGAAAAGACAAAGCCAAAGATTTATGTTGATTCTCAAAAATTATGTTGATTCTCCTCACTGATTTATTTATTTGCAGGCGTTGTTCTTTGTCGACGCGAAATAATTTTTCAGATTTTAGAATTTCTAAATATCGTTATACACAGATGATAAAGATGAAAGAGAAAAAAAAAGATTGATGAATGGTACTTTAGAATTTTACTATGGTTCAATGTGCGGGATTGTGTGTAAAACTACCTTAGTAGTCAAAAGTGTTTTATTCTGTAATTAAACTTACATAAACTGACCTACAATGTAATTCTTTCTTACAATAATGCAAACGAGGAAGAGAGTAGGTTACAATAATGCAAACGAGGAAGAGAGTAGGTGACCAATGACATCGTCTTTGCTAATTTGTTTTACTTATGCTTTTTATTGTTTGATTTTTTTTTTAATTTAAAAAAAAAAAAAAATTGACAAAAAAAATTATGTGTTTCTTTCAGAAATTTAGCAAAAACAGAAAATTTGGATAAGATTAAAAATAATTACATTTTCTTTAAATATAAATAAAATATTCAAATCTAAAATTGCAGATAATTGATTGCAAAAATACTTTTTATTTTAGCACTAATAAAAATATAAATTATTAACTGTTGAGATTGTACCAAATTTTGAGATTAACGTATTTTTTGATCAACTGGATATTTCATTAAGACTTCTTAAAATAAAAAGTTTATGGCCTCAAGCCCAAAAAGGAAGATAAACATGATTTTGCTAGAAGATCGGCCGGCCCGTTAGAGGCCCGCGGAATGAAAGCGAAGGAGCAGGAGGTGAATGGAGATTCGGTGGAGAAGGCCAAGGAGTCGATGTCCGATAGATCCCGTAGAGATCTGACGATCTTCTTCTCGATGTAATCGCTCTGACGAGCACTTGTGAATCTGTACGAAGACAGATGTCTGTGAACCGGAGGGACGATGCTTGGAGGAGAGCTTCTCGAATTGCCAGAGCCTCCGCCATACAAGGAGATGAGACGTTGCTCTGGGGGGAGGAATCTTTGTGGAGTTCCTGCAAGTTTTGATCGGTAAAAATCCATCCCAGACCAGCAGTTCTGCTTTCCGATCTCCACGCTGCATCCGTCTTACAGAAGATAGTGGAGGTGTTGATTTTGAGGTTGAGATGATTGGATCGTGGACTTGGTGAAAGGGTCTGAATCGGTCTAGTTGTTTGAGCTTGTTCCCATTCCTTTTGGGAAGTAATGGCTTTCGTCACTGTCTTCTGAGGTGTGAATCTCTTGTTCTCGAAGATTCTATGGTTCCGGGAAATCCAAATCATCCAGCAGAGCCAAGGAAAAGCATTACCTGTGATACAAAAGGGCGGGAGGGTCTTCCATGTAGCTGCTTCCTGGATCATGATCCTGAAGGTAGAGGCATCGCTGATAATGTCATCCCCCCAAGGACCCAGCTTCCACACTTCTTGCGCGAAAGCACAGTGGAAGAATATGTGATCGGTTGTTTCAGTAGCAACGCAAAGATCACACGAGGTATTGCTGAGGAGACCTCTGGTTTGTAGGTTCGCTCCTGTTAGGAGGGCGTTAGACGCAATCTTCCACAAGAAGAATTTGAGTTTTGGTAGCAACTCCGGGGTCCATATGTACTTTCTCCAGTTCCAGGAATCTTGCATAGCAGTGGGTAAGTCCAATTGTCTTTTTTGATTATTTAAGGCTGAGAAGTACCCTGACTTAACCGTGTAGATACCAGACTTTTGTAGGGGCCAGATGTATGAGTCAGGGGTTCCAAGCAAGCTCGGTCTTAGAGATAGGATGTGAGAGGACAACTCTGGGAGCAGCTGATTGATACGAGTTGTGTTACATTCCTTCCTTTCCCTTGAGAGAATATCCGCTACCATTAGATCTTGATCTAGAATGAAGACAGGTCCAACTGGTTTTAAGTTTGTGAAGGGGTCTATCCACGAGTCACGCCAGAGATCAGTTGACTCCCCATCGCCTATAGCTTTCCCAAGGTGCTGGAGTAGGAGATCTCTTCCTGCTAATATACCTCTCCAACCGTGGGAGATCGAAGGCCCTGCATTGGTTTTAAGAAAAGAGGTTTTGTGGCAATACTTACCAAGCAGGATCCTTGCCAATAAGCAGTTGGGTTTGGTCAGAAGCCTCCAGCTAATTTTGGCTAATAAGGCATGGTTGAAATCTCGGATATCTCGAAAGCCCAGGCCTCCTAGATTCTTAGGTAAGGTGAGTTTATCCCAAGCGACCCAGCAGATTTTATTATCCCCCTCTTTAGGATCCCACCAAAACCTCGTTAGAACTGTCTGGATTCGTTTGCAGAGGCTAATAGGTAGCTCAAAACAATTCATAGCGAACGAAGGCACAGCCGATTGGACAGATTGAAGCATTGTGGCCTTTCCCGCAGTAGAGAGGAAGCGTGTTGTCCAGCTGACTGCGTTTTGTTTCATCATGTCCACTATGGAGGAGAAGAGATCTTTTTTCTTCCTGCCAAAATGTTCCGCGAGGCCGAGTTATTTTCCAACTCCTCATTCTTTCTCAATTCCCAGCTGTTCCTTGACCCGAGTTCTGACATCAGGTGGTGTTTTTGTAGAAAAGGAGATAGAGGATTTTTGCGCATTGATCATCTGTCCCGAAGCTTGCTCATAGCTGTGAAGAATCTCCATTAGAGCAGTGCAGTTGTGAGAGTCAGTCTTGGTAAATATCATGGTGTCGTCTGCAAAGAGTAAGTGGTTCAGTTTCGGACATTGTCTTGCCACTCTGATGCCCGGTAGAGTGCCATCTAATTGTGCTTTTTTACACAGACCAGAGAGGACTTCTGCGCAGATGATGAAGAGGTAAGGAGAGAGGGGGTCTCCCTGCCTGATCCCCCTTTGTGGGATCACTTTGCCAACCACTTCATTGTTGAGAAGGAAGGAGTATGAAACGGTTGACACACATTGCATCGTCCACATAATGAAGGTATCATCGAATCCCATTCTTTCTAACACCGTGCGAACAAAGGACCATTTTAGCCGGTCATAGGCTTTACTGATATCAGTTTTGACAGCCATGGAGCAATGCTTGACTGCTCCTGATCCCTTGAGGTAGTGGAGGACTTCGTGTGTGATGAGAACATTATCAGAGATGATGCGCCCAGGTACGCTGATTGTGTCTCCGATACAATGTCTTGTAAAACAGGTTTGAGCCGTAAAGATAATATCTTGGAAATCACTTTGTAGTAGACATTACAAAGTGCAATTGGTCTATAATCCGAGACAAGTTTAGGGCTGAGAATCTTTGGGATAATTCTGATGTGTGTCGAGTTGATTGAGTATGGTAGCATCCCTGTAGTGAAAAATTCCTGAATTTCTTTTGTTATGGCAGGTCCTACCACATCCCAATTGGATTGGAAAAAGCTCGCTGAGAAGCTGTCAGGCCCCAGAGCTTTGTCAGGGTGGATAGCAAACATTGCTTCCTTGATCTCACATGCGGAGGGAAGGGTGATCAAAGCTTCGTTAGCAGCTTGTGAGACACAAGGGGTAATAACTTTATTTACTATATATGTAGCAGGTGGATTAACCGAGGTAAAGATGTTGTGGAAGTATTGCGAAATGACATATGCAATCTGCTTATCCTCATAAACAGGTTTTCCCAAGGTGTTTTCCAGCACCGTGATTCTGTTTCTAGCACGTCTCCCTTTAGTGGCTGCATGAAAGAAGCTAGTATTTTTGTCCCCCAGAGTCAGCCACAACTGTCTACTACGCTGCTTCCAGTACTCCTCCTCGTCTTTGTACGCTTTTAGTAGCTCCCGGTTGATCAGAGAGATTGTAGCTGTAGCTGAGGTACTGGACGTCATTGCTAGATCGAGTTCTTGTTTTAGTTCATTGATTCTCTTCTGGCTGTTGATATAAAACTCCTTGCTCCAAGCCACAATTGCTTTCCAGCATTTACTGATTCTATTTGCCATTGGCAGGTTGGAGGAGGCATTCTAGGCGGAGGCAATGAGCGCTTTAACCTCCTCATTGTTGCGGAGTCTACGGTCATAACGAAAGATACCCGAAGTTTTCCTCTTCTTAGAGTCAAAAGTGGATAGAACAGGCCGATGGCCTGAGCCTTCAAAAGTAAGGTAATGAGCTCTCCCATATGGGAATAAATCAGACCATGAGCTATTAATAAGGGATCTATCTAGACGGCAATGAACCAGGTGTGAATGCCTCTGACCTCTCCAAGAGAGATAGTCTCCTGTATGTTTCAGGTCAAAAAGGTCACAAGAAGACAAGAAAGTTCTGAAGGCAGCAAAGGAGCTCCGGTCTTTCAAGACCTCCAGATTTCTCCGAGTTGTCAGTTATCTCGTTGAAATCGCCAGTGAGAAACCATGGAGTATTTATGGAGTCTGAAATATCTGAAAGGAGATCCCACACCTCTTGTCGATTAGCCGTCTCCGGTGCTCCATAGACAAAGGTACTGGAGAAAGAAGTACCCTTAAAGGTGACCTTTGTGTCGATAAAATTCTGATTTGCCGTGAGTATCTGAACAGAGATGTCGTTTTTCCAGAATAGGGCAAGACCTCCAGAAGCAGGAGAAGAAGGGGGGGATCAGATAGTGGTTTTCGAAGTTCAAGCTTCCCAATTCCGTCAACACCATTTCATTCTGGTTTTTGGTCTCAGAGATAAAAATAATATCAGGAGAACATTTTTTGGTGAGATCCTTGAGCCTTTGGACTGTTATGGGGTTCCCCAAACCACAACAGTTCCAGCTCAAGACCACTAAGGAAGATGAGGAGGTGGGGTGGGAAAATCCTGAAGGGATCTCCCAGCGTTAGATGCTCCCTGTGTTAGGGGCTGACGTGGTGGTAAGGGAGGTGGCTGTTGTCTGGGTATGTCACTCCTGTTGATCTGAAGGATTGGTGAAGCGTGCGGGAATCCGTGTGTAGATGAGGAGCGATTTCTAGACTGGCTTTGAGATAAGATTCTTTTGCTTGCACTAGCACCTTGTAGTGGCTGCAATCTTGATGAGTTTCTTTTGTGTCTTGCAGATTTGCCTGTGCTTCTTCTCACTGAAAGAGAAGAGGAACTTTTGTGAGGAGCAGGGGGTAGAGTTGCTGCCAAAGCTGAAATGGGGAACGAAGCATCCATTTCCCTGGCTAGGTTACGTTGCGCTGCAGCAATAATCCCTGTGGCAGTCTCCTCCATGAGACCAGGGTCCTCGTTTATCACTCGCTGGACTCTAGCAGCACTCTCTGCTGGGTCAGGGCAATTCGTGTACTTGAAAGTGATATTCAAGAGATCATTCATCACTTCCTCTCTAGAAGGGACAGTATGAGATGGGGGGAAATCACAAGATGCTAAGTTTCTTTCCAGTGGTGGTCTCACCTCAGAGGGAGTAGAAGCCCCAGGTCTTTGAGTGTTGTTTGATGGAGGGGGGGGGGAGACATGGGATTTCTCACGCCAGACATGTCCAGCAGTCTGTCTCTGCGATTGGTGAGAGTTGTTCTGGTTTCTACGAGGAGGGTCTCCTCCTGGGTGGTGATTGGTCCTGTCCCGGGAGCCGGAGGTCAGATCTTCTGAGTGTGGCACAATCTTGTTGGCAATGGGTCTTCCTCTAGCTGGGGGAAGAGGGAGTCTTTCCCCAAAGGGTCTTCCATGTCTGTCCAGGCGTGAGTTGAAATCAGTTGCTACAGTCTGCCTCTTTGGAGATCTCTCCGCATTGTGACGGTTATGAGAAGCATGTCTAGCTTGATTCATGGTTACTGATGCAGCTCCTTGTCTGGAGGCCGTGGAACGTTGTGACGTAGGAGCCGGTCTAGATTGATGTAGGTCACTGGGGCAGTTTCTAGCCACGTGAGAGAGACAATGACAGATGGAACAGTGATATTCCAGGTTCTCGTAGTCCAGAGTGATCGGGACTTCTTCTCCTGTGGCAAAGTCCAGAATGGAGTCCATTAATATAAGCGGTTTCGGAGCGTCTATGTCAACTTGGACCCTCGCTGAAGTTTTTGTTATTTTGTAGTCAATAAGAGTACCAAGTTCCTGAGCAATGTTGTAAATCATCTTTTCATGCCAGAAATGCAGGGGAATCCCTTGGAGGCGGATCCAGAAAGGAATCTGAGAGGAGAAGCGTGGTGAAATGACTGGTTCTCATCTTTGTAGGACCAGCATCCAACGGTTGTAGTGATAAGGTCTGCCGAAGAGGACAGAGAGTAGGTCTTCCTCGAGTTCAAACCTGAACTGGAAGCAATTGTTCCCTAAATCGGAGTCTGAGGTTCCTGCTTTAAGCGTCCAGCTTCTTGGTAAAGCAGATAAGAGGGCTCCTATCGGTTGTTCCTTTGGGTTCGGTATTCATCCAATCAAGGTAAGTTGGTTTTCCATGATAAGCGCTGATGTGTCTATGTCTGGTGCTCTGACACGTCTGCTTACTTTCTCTTCTTGGGATTCAGGTGAGTGCACAATAGACTTGCCTTTTTCCTCGGTGGAGAAACGTCGTGGAGCCATGAGGAAGGTTTCAGAGCAGGTGTAACCTTCAAGTCTGGATGCTGTTTTAGGTCTAGAGAAGCGGAGGGCGAAGAATTGAAGGCCTAAAGAGGATAAGAGAAGCCAGAGTAACCGGAGATCCTTCAGAGGAGTAAGCCTGTCGACTCTGTAGGCTCCGGTGGGACTCAGTAGAGTCTCAGAAGCACAAACCGGAGATGAGAGTCACTTCCCGACCACCGGTGGGACTATTGTCCAGCGGACAAGAGCTGAAAGAGGAGAGAGTTCAAAACGTTGTTTTGGGGGTGCAGACTTCTTTTTGCTAAAAAAGGAAAGTCAGCTTTGGAAACTTCCTATTAACCGATGGCTAAGGACTCTTCTCGTGGAAAGTGCCTGAGAGAAAAAATGGGATCCGTTTTTCCCACCCGTACCAAGTCTAATTGAGATTAACGTATATGTAACCAAAATCACTCAAATAACTTATTTTTAATATGTAAGAAAAGTGTGATATACTTTTATATGATTTACAAATCCTTATACATATACATTTATTCAATTATAAAAGCACTCCAATATAAAATTTAAAGATAGACGATTTTAGAAGTACTTTTTATTTTAAAGTTGAAAAAAATAAATAAAACCTAAAAGCCCATCAAAATTATAACAATTTTTTACAATTTCACATATAAGTGTAGTAAGCAAAAAAACCACTTAAATAACTTCTGTTTTAGTATATAATAAAAGGTGAGAAATAATTCTTTATGAATTATAAATCTTTATAGATATACACTTATACAATTATAAATAGATTTGGAAGTATTGACAAACGTTTTTTAAAAATCTTATACTTCTTTAAACGAATTTACAAATGAATAAATAACATCTTATAAATGATTTAGAAATTCCAAAAAAATGGGTTCGTAAGCCACAATAGAAAATTAAAAAAAAATTATTAATCATTTCAAAAATCTTCACAAAGGATCTAAAAATCATGTGTGTGATTCAAATTAAATTATTTATATAATAATATACAACCTTTATATTGTTTTCTATAAAAACATATTAAATTATTTTATATACTTATAAATAAATAATTGATGACAATAAAAGATATGATGAAACATTATATATGATTAATATAATTATGAAATTAATTGCCATAAATATTCATTTTCAATATTAATTTTGTGTTTTCGTAGCCTATATTAATAGGTTCTGGAGTTACTTTATAATTTTAATCTGATTAAAATAAATCACTCGTAAATTAACCAGTCAAATTATAATAATTTTGTGAAACTTCACATATGAACAACACATAAAAAAAATCACTTAAGTGATTTCCCAATTAATATACAACTAGATGATAACCCGTACCACACGCGGGGTAAGCTTTTAAAAAAATATTGTATTTAAATACATATTTTGTTATCAATAATTTATTTACATTTGATTATGAATGAACATTCATGTACCATTTGGTTTGATTTAGATCTTTGCGGATTTGGTTTGAATCTTTGCAAATTCAGTTTAGGTTTAGGTTTGGATCCTTTTTTTAAAAAAAAGAAAAGATTAAAGTTCATATATACTTTCAATTTCTCAAAATCTAGAACAAAAAAAAAATATATATATATATATATATATATAACATAGAAATTTGAAAATGAATGCCAAAATACTTAAAATTAACATAAAATTGTTTTATCTTAAATATTTGGAAAAAAATTAATAAATATTTCAAGTATTTTTGGTATTTGGAGTATCGTTTAGCTATTTTATAAATGTACTTTAACTATTTTATATATTTCTAAGTATTTTGGAAAATTTAAAACATCTCATGTATTATTTTATATTCTTAGATGTCAAAGTTAAAAATAATTAATATATTTAAGTATATAAATCTGGTTCGAATACACTCGGATAGCCGATTTTGATTCTCGAGATACTAAAATTTTGAATTCATTTGGATATCCTACCAATTTTGGTTAAAGATTTGTCTTACTTTTTGGATTAGATTTGGTTCGGTTATTTGAATTCAGTTTTTTGCCCAACCCTATATTTTTTATTGTAACAAATTTAAATGAAATAGATGATGGTTCATATTGATTTTCGGTAGGCAAAATTTTTTAAACCAAAACACAATTTATTCTATAAGTGATCCATTTAGTAAATCATTAAAAATTGTTTAAGACCCATTAAAAACGATTGCCTGGACTAAAAAAATGTTACTATTGATCACGAAATTTTCAATGTGAGATTTTTACCTTTTTTAATAATTTATGGTTGTTTAGAAAAATCAAAATATAACAAATACGAAAATTTGATTTAATTTTTAATTATATAATTAATGTGATTGTTTAATTTATTTTAATAATATAAAACTAAATAAAAAGTAAAAAGGATAAAAAAATTTGTTATCAAATCTTTATTATTCATAATCATTAATTGTGATATATATGTTAATCATATTTGGTGATTCCGTAGTTTTTATTTAAGGAAAAAGTAGAGAATATTCTTTTGTACTCTACTAATAAATATGATAGTTAGTTTAATAAAAATATAACATATGTTTAGTATTTTTCTTTAGTAAATTTGAGAAGCATTATCATGATGACATGTGGCTACCAAACATGTTTTAATGCTTCTCACTTAATGTATAGGGGATATGATAGGATGTTTAAAAAAAAGCTTTGAGCAACATATGATATCTCACCATAAAGTTCACAATATAAATATGTGTGTGTGTGTGTGTAGTTAATAAAAACTTTATAAATTACTAATATGGGATCTTGATATTTTATTAATTTATAGAGTTATTAATTTACCAAAAGATTCTTTTTAGATGTTTCTATTTTAAGATATATTTTCTAAAATAAGAAAAATATGTGATTTAAGTGTATATATTAACTATCTTTTGAAAATTTGATATTTATATAAATTTTATTATATTATTTTTTATATATAAAATATCTCTCATAGAATTTAAATGTCTTTTTAGATATATTTTTATTAAATCTCATCAAAATATATTAAATGTTAAGAGATATAAAAAAATAATTTTGTTACGAATCTAAATCAACCAATATAATGGTTAGTTTGTACTTATATAATATGAATATATATATATATATATAAATTATTAATTTACAATTTTAATGAGATCATATAGTTATATATTATATTTTTTAAAGTTATTATTTTATCGCTTACTATCATATTTTAAATCGATTTAACTTGTGAGCGGAGAAATTTATTAATTTATGGTATTTACTAATTTATCGATTATTATTTTCTGGAATATTTACTATATATATATATATATATATATGTGTGTGTGTGTGTGTTATGTGTTTATATTAATATTTAATATTAACATTACCGATATCTCCATCGGAATTATCTAACGTGGATACTTTGACTGAGGTTTCCCTAATTTCAAAAGACTTATAAGTAAATATTAAAAATATTTATAATTAAATATTAATATTAACATATATACATATATTTTGAGAACTCCACGATAAAATATCACCATATTGGAGTTTCTCTTATGTTTGGACTACAAGGACATCACTTCTTTTATTAAGAGGGACATAATTTTATTAATTACTATATATGGATCTGTATGTTAACGGGTTTTAATCGATGTTTAATTTTTGTGGACACATAAAAATTGAAAATTTTATTCACATTAGACCATCTCCATTGTATTTTGTTATTTTTACTCTAAAATAAATGAACTCTAAAATAGAGATGAGATATGTTCCAATATATTCATCCATAATAGCAATCTCTAAATATAGAATAAAAACAGAAGATTACTATTTCTA